CCCCTAGTCAGAACATGGGGCACAGGACCATCCTCTGTGAAGCTATACACCGGAATTCATGTCCAGTTTCCAGACAAATCTAAATTTTAGGTCAAGATCCTGGATAAAGCTGGCAGACCATAAAGTGCAGACAGCATACTTACACAGAAGCTGGGCTACTGGGAAGAGAGGACAGAGATGGCAGTCAGTGGGACCTTTCTCAATATGCACCCAAGGATATGGAACATACCTCAGAGTGTGGTGGAGTCTCCTTCTTTGAAGGTTTTTAAACAGAGGCTGGATGGCCTTCTGTCAAGGGTGCATTGTAACATTGGGCCTCTACAGACGGTGCTTTGCGCCGTCTTGGAGGCAGGGAAAGGGCAGCCACATGCTGTCAGGATGTCATCACAGCACAGCGTCTTAATGTGCTGCGCTGGAAGAGGCACAAAAGAGTTGTACGGCAGCTCTTGGGGCGGCCAATTTGCCGTCTCTGAAAGGAGCATCATTTTGGCGCTCCTTTCCGAAGTGGCAAAAGGGAGGATTGGGGCCGATGCATCCGGTAGCATTGGCCTCGATCCTCCATTTTCCAGGGTGGCCCAGAGCCGCCTGTCTGCATCCTCCCATTGTGTGTTACTGCATGCCAGGGGGTTGGACTGGATGGTCTTTGTTGGTATCTTCTAATTCTATGATTCTATAATTCTGACTAGCCTTTTGTTGTTGTTGTTAACTGCTGTCATGTCGGTCTCGACCCTATGGATGAGACATCTCCAGGCCCCCTGTCCTCTACTGCTCTGCCCAGCTTCTGCAAATTCTTATTCGTGGTTTCTTTAATAAAGTCCATCCATCTAACATGTGCCCTTCCTCTCCTTCTTCATCTTTCCTAACATTATTGTTTTTTTCCAACGATTCATGCCTTCTCATGATATGTCCAAAGTATGACAGTCTAAGTCTTGTCATCTTGGCTTCTAGGGATATCTCTGCCTTGATCTGCTCTAGGGCCCATTTATTTGTACTTTTGGCTGTCCATGGTGCCTCTTCCTTTTCTGAACTTTGCTTGGATCTCTGGGATTTTTCTCTCCATATGTGGTTGGAGTCTATGGGCCTTTGCAGACTGCCAGAAATAGTGCACATTAAATTGAGGCACTGCCTGGGCTCAGTGCTAGGGAATCATGGGAACTGTAATTTATTGTGGCACCAGAGCTCTCTGACAGAGAAGGCTCAATGTCTCAGAAAAAAATACAATTCCCATGACTCCCTAGCACTGAGCCAGGGCAGTGCCTCAATTTAATGTGCACTATTTCTGGCAGTCTGCAAAGGCCCAAAGTTGCAGTATTTTAAGCATAATTTTGCTTGCATGGGAGATTAGTGCTATGGTCCTATAGTTGCCTTTGGGGGTTCGAAAATGTGAAGCTGTATCTAGGGAACACCTAGCTGCTATCACACTGCCAAGAAAACATTTTCTCAAGGAGATATTTGATACCACTTTACACAACACTGCAAAAACCAACTAATAGAAAATCCAGTTATGCTAGGATAAAGCCTCATGGATTCCAATCTTAGATTAAATTAAAAACCACAAATATTAAATCCTAGCACTTTGAAAAACATAAAGCACTGTGATAAAAGTAGCATATGTTTAAGCAGTGATACCATATTGTGTAGAGTAAAAATGTAATAGATTTGGCTCAAACTGGAATTACCTAAATACTTAAATAAAATAAAAGTTTAATAGCACCATTTAATATAAAAATTTAATAAAAATAAAAGACCATTTAACAAACCAAGAAAAAAGTAGTAAGGGAAATCATGAAAAAAATTCTGTTCTCCCTAATGAAACTGGTATTTTAAAATCAGTTTAATTTCACACCATTATCACTATAAAATTTAGATTTAAAAATGGCATATAGAAAGGGAGAGTAACTTACATGTAGAAGTATGAGTTTTCATGAAGTCCTGAAGGTCAACAGCAAGTTTGTGGATCTGGCTGTGGAACTGTTTGGTAGAATTCTTGAGAAGGAAAATATCCTTAGAATGGATTGCTATGGTTTTATTCATCTGATTGACACAGTTCCAAAGACTGGAGATATGTTTATTTAATCCTTCCTTTATCCTTTGAAGGCTGCTAGATACTGAATCTAATTTGTTGCAAGTTTTCTCAACATTGGACACTCTTCCCTCCAAGTCTGAGATGCCTGGAAATTTATCCTTACATTTATTCAAGTTATAAAATCCTTTCTCATTTAACTGTTCCATCTTCTCTTTCAAATCATTGCAACAATTATCACTTGGAGAAGTCGTTTGATTGCCTACTGTTTTCTGTATTTCATCTATCTTTCTGAATACACCAAGCTGTGTCTTTTCACAGGTAGAATTAATGCCAAGAAGCTGCTCTCTGCAACTGTTCAAACCACCTTGAAGATTTTTTACATCTTTATCAATGGCATTCAGACCATAACGGACTATTCGTAAGTCCTTCTGAAGTTTCTGAATGTCACGTTTGCTACCTTTAATCAAATTAAATTTTTCATTTAAAGAGCTATTTAAAGACTTTAAAAGACCCAGATTATTCTCTGATTTCAAAAACAGTAAATCATATTTACTGTTGCAGTTTTCTATGTCTTCACGGAGGCCTTCCATATTTTGTGGTACAGACTGGCATTTCTGCCAGCACAGATTTTCAACATCTTGTAGTTTGTTCTTTATAATATTAACCTCTAATGCAAGCTGCCCATTTCTAGATCTTGAACTGCTCTGTAAATTTGGCCCTGGGTCAGTATGTATTTCATACGGATCTGTGACATTAGCAATATCTAGAACAGTAGCACTGAGTCTATTTTCCAGTGCTTCAAGTTTTTTATCAAATAAGTCTCTGACTTCATCTACTTCAGTTGCTATAACACCACGAAGAGTTTCCTCAATATAAAAACAGTGTTCTTCAGCATTTCTTTCTGTAACATTAAGCCTTGCCTCTACTTCCTCCCATTTTGCATCAAAGCTGCCTTCTGAATATGGACTGGAAACATGCTTTATTTCATTATCTATCCTGGCATTTAAAATATTGTTTGCTTCTGCAATTCTGTCTATCTTTTCATCCAAATGTTTTATCTGTTGTACAAATTCATCTCTTTTAGCATCCTTGCAACACAGTGACTGGTTTGATGGAGCTTGACTCTGGATATATTTTATTTCTTTTCTCAGATCCTTTTCTTTTTCTCCAATAAGTTCTCTTAGTCCTGCGCAGCTAGCTTCATGATCATCACAGTGTTGCTGAATATCCATCAGTTTGTACTCACAAGAATTTTTTAAATCTGCCATTTTCTTTTCAAATCCTTCTAACATTTCTTGTCTCAGGGCTTCAAACTTAGCATCTATATATGCTTGATACAACTGGCTGCTAGGCATGGTTATTGTTGGACCTTGGGCAGCTTCTTGGTGCTGCTTCAATTGCCCTTCATAGACATTTACCTTCCCATTCAGCTCTTCCAGCTTTTCATTTTTGGCCCTCAAGTCATCTTTTTCTTCAGATAATTCAGATTTTCCATCTTCTTTTCCAGATTCCCTTTGGTCTTTATTTCTAGACAGATTAATATTCTCTGTTTCACCCTCACCCATTCTGTCAGGCCCTGGATGGTCATGAAGGTTGTTCAACCATGAGACAAGCATCCGACTTGCATCTTCCTGCACTGTAAGCTTCAGGTTTTCATTCACACCTGTTAAAGAGGACTGAAGTTCTAATACTGTCTGTGTAAGGCGAAATAATTCATCCTCAAGGTACTGAATTTTTTTATCCTGTGCATCCTGTTGTTCTAGTTTTGGATTAGAGTCTGTGAAAAAAAAAGGAGGGAAAAGAACATTTTAATCATTTTCACAATAACTCATTCCCACCGCCACCACCAAGAGAATACACTAATTCACATTTATACACTTCTGCTGCTCAATGTGTATATGAACATTAGAATACAAAGTACTAGTGAAGTCTGAAAATAATATTAAACTATAATAACCATTTGCAGGTAGCACTAAACCACTGAATCATAAGCAGATGGGAACCCCAGTAATCTTGGGTTCTCACATTCTGTCTTGCATGGCCAGGAAGGAGAATAAACCAATATTCTGTTTTACTTCAGCAGATTTCTGATTTCTTGTTATGTGAAAACTAGAAGCTGTGGATTAAAATAAACTCTAGTGAGTTGCTAAACAAATCTGCGAGAAAATCTGGATTGTGTCAGAAACATATTAAAGTAAATCTGAATTTCAGATCATTCCCTGCTCTGGCTACAAGGAAAGAGAGAAGAGCACACTACTCTGATACTTTTTACAGAATCTTATCTACTTATGAATATATCTCCTCCCTATGGATACTGTGGATAGCCAAAAACCCCAAACAAATGGGTCCTTGAACAGATCAAGCTCTAACTCCCACTAGAAGCCAAGATAATGAAACTGAGGCTATCATACTTTGGCCACATCATGAGGAGGCATAAATCATTAGTAAAAACAATAATGCTAGTAAAGGTAGAAGGTAGCAGAAAGAGATGAAGACCACAGACCAGGTAGATAAACTCAATCAAGGAGGTCATAAATTTACAGGACCTGAGCAGAGCAGTGGAGGATAGGTGATTTTAGAGATATTTCATACACAGGGTCGACAAGAGTTGGGGTTGACTCAAGTGCAGTTAACAACAACAACAACAAAGTATATCCACTGAATCTGTCAGATTTATTTATGTGTTTACTCACCATGCAAAAACTGATTTAATGGGCCTCCTGGGCCAACAGGATGCCACTTATAATTTCAATCAGAGATCTATAGGTGTTCAGTTAATGGCTAATTATTTTCCTTAAAAAATTGTTTGTTGTTGCTGTTGTTGTGTGCCTTCAAGTCATTTCTGACTTATGGTGACCCTAAAGTGAACCTATCATGGGGTTTTCTTGGAAAGATTTGTTCAGTGAAGGTTTGCCATTGTTTTCCCTCGAGGCTGAGATCATGTGACTTGCCCAAGATCACCCAGTGAGTTTCATGACTGAGCTAGGAATCGAACTTTGATCTCCAGAGTTGTAGACCAAGACTCAACCACTATGCCACACTGGCTTCTTTACTCCATACAAAATATAAATTCCATAGCTTTCCCGCTCTCCACTGCTGCAAAGCCATCTTTTCATGACCAATTCCAGTCAGGGGATAAATCATATTGAATTTACAAATGTACCTTATGCTATGCCTCAACCTCAATCAATATATTCTGAAATAGTGAAAGTTAAATAGGTGGTCTACATGTCTGCCATTTTTGTTTTTTAAACTAAAACCCTTCAAAGAAAAAAAATGGGACAATTAGGACAACCACTAACTATAGAAAAGGGTCTTTACAACTTGCCTCCCTTGCAAATGAATTACCTCCTTTGTAAGAAGCTTCTTACATTAGCAGGTACATGAAAAGGCACACTAGCACCAAACTAGAAATATGGAGCTCAAGATTCAGGAAAAAGTTGCTGTTTTCAGACCACCCTACCCCACTAAGCAGAATTCTGAACATTTTCTGAACAAGGAAGGTAGAATTGCCTATAACATGACATTAAATAAAACAAGAGGAAAAACAGATCCTGTCCACTGAAATGGAGCTAAATGGCTCTGCTAAGTGTGATGTGTTGTCATCAGGGAGACCAGATGCTCTCCTTTTCCAGGACATGTCCTACATTTCAACCTTCTGTGCAGGAGGATTTCCAAAATGCCCTCCATTTTCAGCATGACTAAGGTACATGAATTTATATTTATATGAGTGTTTTTTCGCTTTTGATTTGTAATGTCCTACATTTTTCTGGAGCGGCCTACATTTTGTGGTATCTTGGTCACCTTTGTGATTAGGACATCAAGTTGCCCCAGTTGTCATTAAAAAAAGAGAAAAGACTAGAAGAAGCTGTCTGTCCAAAAGCAATCATGACAGTTTCTGCATCAATGACTGAGCTGAAGTTTTTAACTAGAGCTTGTGGTAGAGTAAGAGCTAAGACTTTCAAGTTTACAATGACCGCATTTTAAACCAGGGCAGGAGAGCATGTGGCTGTCTGGATGCTGTACTTTCTCAAGAAAAATGCTGCAGAAAGAAATTCAGTGTAGCTCCATTCATTCTAGGAACTATTCACTAATCCGCTGTTTTTAACTATATAAAAAATGAAATAGCAATAATGACCAATCTCATGAATGTGATGAGAATGAAGAGCGAGTATAGGCATTATAAAGCACTCTGAATGCTGAAAAGTATAAAAATACAGAAAAAAAGAAGTTCTATGCATGGTCATGAATAACAAAATCCAAAGAAAAAGTTACCCAAACTGGTCTTGATATCATGTGGTGATAAGTCTGCTGGGTAAATTACTGGTTTTGGCTTTTGTGGAACAGCTTCTTTGCAATCTACACCCATGTATCCAGGGCAACATCTCCATTCTAATTCAGTCACTGTCTTGTACTTTATTGTATATTTAGGTCTGAAACTTGTACGATATCTGCAATAAATAAAAGTGGAAAATGGTGTCAACCTTAGAATAATCAAATAGTCAAACAAACAAAATGCAAATGGAATAGCAAGTCCAATTGCTGGAATAAGAAGTATTATTGCTGTAGTTAAGAAAGATCAGTAAACCATTCCTTAAGTACAACTGTGATGAATTTATTCTTCCATAATTTAGAATGGTATTCAGAGAAGAATTACATATGTGAAAAATGCAATTACAGCGGGCCCTTCACTGGGGTTTGGTTCCAGGACTTGCTATGGATACCAAAATCCATGGATACTCAAGTCCCATTAAATACAATGGCATAGTAAAATTTATTCCTTATATAAAACAGCAAAATCAAGCTTTGCTTGTTGGAATTTATATCTTTTTGGAATATTTTCAAGCCACGGATGGTTGAATCTGTGGATATAGAGAGCCAACTGTATTTATTTTGTCACCCCTATTCATTAAGAAACTGTACACAAAAGCAACTCCCCTTCCACAGCACATACTTTGTGCCAAAGAGATTATGTTGCTAGAAAAATAAGCAAACAATCAAGCAACTCCCATAAGCTATAGAAAAATAGATGTATTTTACTTTGATATGATTGGAATAGAAATGCCATTAGACGTAATTCATTCTAGATGCACTGGGCCTCTTAATTTCTATTTTTTAGCAAGGACAGACTCACCACAATTAAATGTATTCTGCTACAGCTAGCAGTGCATAGTTGGAAAGAAAACAGGATAATATAAAATAGAATGCATTTCCACTTTAGTTGGCATGATTCCAATGGAATCCTGGGACTTGCTGTTTAGGAAGGATAATTAATAATAATAATAATAATAATAATAATTTTATCCTGCATAATGCAACCGGGGTGGCTTACAACTTTAAAATATACATCCATATCCCACAATCCCAACCCCCCTTAAAATACAATTAAATAATAAAAATTTAAAACACATTTAAAATAATAACACAAAAAACAAAGAAACAAATAACAATAGCTGCAGCTGAATCAGGGATGAGCAGGATGGCTGTCTTTTGATGGCCGGGATATCTATTCAGAAAAGAGTACTGAGATTTCTCTGCCAGAGAACTGTAGTGCCACCCCAAACTCCAAATCTTATGATTCTGTATGGAGCAGCCATGGCTGTTACAGTGCTATTAAAATATTATTATTGTGTAGTGTGAAAGAGACCATAGTTAAACTGATCTAAGAAACTGATAAAATGATAATTTAGTGATAAATAAATAACATGATCAGACTGATCCAATCTAATTGCTCCACAAAATAAAGTTTCAATCTTATAGCAATCTGAAATTAAACTCAATTGAAAACAGTAAGACTTGTTTCTAAATATAGGATTGTACTATAGATAAGATTTATAATTGCTTTGACTTTCAAACTTTCTTAATATGAAAATCAAGCAGTATTTGCCATTATATTGGGAATGCCAGTGCAGACCAAGGCACCCAATTCCATCTGATCTTGAAAGCTAAGCAGGACCAGCCCTAGTCAGTACTTGGATGAGAGGTTGCCAATGAATACCAAGTGCTGTAGGCTATATTTCAGATGAAAGAATTGGCAAAACCGCCTGAGTATTTCTTATCTAAGGAAACCCTATGAAATTCATGGGGTTGCCATAGGTTGACAAGGCAGCTTGAAGGCACATACATACATACATACAGGGAATTCCAAATTTAGTCATCCAATAGGGGAGAACTATAGCTCCAGTAATTCAAATGAAAGTATTAAATCAACATGTCCTTTTTCACTTATGTTCCGTATTTACTGGATGCATAACCAACTGCAAAGTTCCTGCTAAAACAGTAGAATATATACAGCTTTGGTTCATTCAGTGAGGTAAAGGAAGTTTTAGAACCAGAGACAGCAAAAGCTAACTACTAAGCATTGTGGCAGAACCAACTAATTTATATGTCTAGTCACTGCATCAAATGTCTCTGGGAAATTTAGTAGGTACATGATGCATGTATATACAGTGCTCTGCTAAAAGGAAATCCATAAAAGCTTCATTTAGTCTCAAATGAAAAGTATAGAGCAGCTGAACAATAATGATGAAAACATAACAAATGAGTATATAAAGATCTTCTTTCTGTTATAGCTTTATTGTAACAGGGATCAGATACCCAGCCAGCAAATACAATGGGAACTGAAGGTTTCTTCAAAATGTAACAAAAACCTCTGGCAAGCCTGCTAGCGGAAAAACAGACCACAGCAGATATCCTGATCTGGGCAGGGCTCCGACTGCAGTTGTTGCTCTGCTGCTGATCTCTCCCCTCCTTCGATACTTAGGACTGGCTCTGTTAATAAGGTTCTACAGTTCTGGGATTTTTATGTCTGCTTTAGCTGGTTTGATTATCAATGAAAATATTTTAAATAAAAACCAAAACCAAAACCAGAAAGAGGCACAATGGTGTCCTGTTGCACACAGTATTACATTTTAATTTTAATTATTGCTGAAACGTCTGCCAAAACCATTCATTTTAGCCAAGTATTTAAGAGTAGGAAACAATATCCAGAGCAAGCCTATACATGTTCAGTCCCACTCATCCTACTGTATTTCTTGTTATTGTTAGTTGAAGATCAGGAATATGTATTTATATTAACATAAACGTATTAAAACATTCTTATAACATAGTAGAGAAGAGAGAAATTCTAACATCCTGGCCACCCAGGGTGTTCTCTGGTCCCCTTGTTCTCTCATCTGTAATATAAACCTACTTATTACAGTAGTACATAAGCAATTTAGGTAGGATGACTTTTAACAACTCACAGCTGTAGTCAGTGGCAAATGGAATACCAAATATTTTTTTAAAATTAAAGTAATTAGAGAGACATCCCTACAATAATAATAGTTAAGTCTGAAGTTGACCTGGTAAGCCTGACTCATATATATGTTTCTGCATGTTGACTTGTAGTATCTGAACTGAAGCAATTGGGTAAAGGTATAAAAAACAAAGTCTTTTGAAAATCCATATTACAACAATTAAAAATTCCTATGAATAATTTTTCTTATCAAAGGTATATTTTGACTATTGGAAATTTCAGTTATCAAGAGCATTTTGAGATTATTTCAAATACATTACATTTCAGTAATGGATGACTGATATTATTGGTCAGAGTAAACTATCTGCTTAAGATCTCTGTACTACAAGCCATATAACTTGTTTTCTTATCAGTGTGTGTGTATATGCTTTCAAGTTGCCTGTGCAAATATATAATTCAAAAGATTGTTTGTGTCACATTTTAAAAGCAGCCATATCAATTTCTAACAGTGTCACAACTTCCAAATGTCAATAAAACCATATGAATTACAAATTCTAAGCCATGTCCCTTGTGTCTAATTTTTAAAAAATCTGTAATCCACTGTCCTCATAAAACAATCACACTCTGTAGTTATTTAAGGACTACTCATCATTCCAATTGGTAGCATTCATTACCAATGTTCATAACAGTTACAATCAGGAATGAACTATAAATCAAGTCAATAAAACGAAAGATGCACACAAGCAAAAGGTACATCTAGTTCTTATAACTGTACAACTCCTAATTTGGAACTGAAAATCTTGTCCTC